GATCTGGGGATGACTGACTCTGACAAGGACTAAATACACTAGACAAGCTGAGGGAAACGAGCAACAGGTGAGATCCATCAGGGAAGAACACGAGGTAATGAGGGGGGCGTGGCACACATCGGGAGCGGACGGAGCGGGACGTGACAGTAAAGCAGTGAGAACTGGTTTTCAGTTAATTTACCTGGTAAAATAGAGCATTTATGTAATTTATTTAAACTTTAATAGTACACGTAAGTTAGTGGTTTATTTATTGTTAGTTACTGTATTGTTGCGCTGCTTTATTTGTTTAATCGTCCAGTCTGTGAAAAGATTATTTTAGGGTGGCACATGCCCCTGAGGCTATCCCATTGGTGCGCCCCTCCGCAATACCTCTGCACCTCCCAAGGGGGGCGCGCCCCCCAGTTTGGGAACCACTGCAGTAATGGGAACTCTTTATGGTTCAGCATATCAATACATTTTGGAGAATTCCATGCTTCCAACTTGATAGCCAGGCCTTCACATCCAACATCAGTGCCTGACCTCAAAAATGCACTTCTGGATAAATGGGCAAAAATCTTGTGGAATGCCTTCCCAGCAAAGATTGGCAGCTGTTATAGCTGCAAAGCGGGGACCAACTCCATATTGATGCTTATGGATTTAGAATGGAAAGTCATAAATGTTCCTACGGGTGTAATGGCCAGTTGTCCCAATACTTTTGTCCATATAGTGTACGCATTAATCAGTGGTATGCCCTGGGATAATTACCATATGAAAAGTGTGCCATGACAGAAAAAGTTTGTGAAACACTACTAAATAAATGAACATGAACGAGATGTATAAACACACCCACTAGATGGCAAAACAATCAAGCATTTGAGTGTAGAGTTGTTGAAATCCGACAAATTATATGTGCTGGTCTTGAGTTTGACAGCAGCTAAGTGATGATTGGATATCTTTGTTTTACAATTTAATGTTCCATCCAGTATTCTCCATTATTATGTGATTAATTTATATTCAGGTCAAATAGCATATTAAACTCTTTGTTTGTAGCTGTCACATGGGCATGTGCGGTACCTTAACTGAAGACTCCAGTAAACTAATATGAATATGAATATGAACCAATATGAAACATTCATTCATTTTCTAACTGCCAATCCTGGTCAGGGTCACCTTGTACCCTAGAGCTGATTTCACGTTGCACTTTTAAGACACGAGGCTGGGGTACACTCAGGACAAGTTGTCAATCAAACACAGGGCACACAGACATATTTGCACACTCACAAATATACAGTAAATGCAATTCACCTAAATCCACGTTTTTGTTCTGCAGAAAGAAATCAACTTACTAAGAGGAAATACCCGGAGGCACATATAGAACAGAGTGTAACGGTATACAGTGGTACCTCAGTTCTCTAACTCATTATAACTTGCATTTCTTATAAGTCGAACCAACCAATTCGAAAAAAAATTACCTAGAACTCGATCTGAATCTCAGAAGTCAAACCGTGAACCCCGACCTAAGACAACTTGTACACGTGGGGAAATGAGTCACGCGGCACGTCTCTCAGTGGAAACAAAGGTTAACACTTCAGTCTCAGCCTCGCATTCGCTGTGATAGCATACTGCATGTTTACATTAGCTGAATACATATATTTAGACAGTAAAAATACATTTAGACAATGATAGACAGTAACAACAATTATTATTATATAATAAAATACATTTAAAAATAAAGATTTATTAATTATTTTAATGTTAATAATAAAACATTAATACATTTAATTATAATAATATTGTCATACCCAGTGGGGACGGAACGGCGCAGATGTCAGGGTATCGGGGAATATGGGGTTTAATTGCAGATAAGGCAGGCAAAACGCAGACGGACAATACAATGACCGGACTGGAGAAACAAACTGAAACGCGGACTAAATACAGAGGACTAATGACAACAACCAGAAACAGCTGATCACACAGGGATTCCACACGGGGTTAACGAGGGGCCATGGCACACGGAAGGAGCGGACGATCGGGGCAGGACACATTGTTTGGATACATTTATTTTCTTACTTTAAAAATTACTGTTTTGATCAATGTGCTTAGATGTGTTTAGTACAGTATATGCTCTTCTTGTTTTATCCGGTTCATTTTGTGTTTAAACGCTAAAAAAAGACTTATTTCGGTGTATTTTTTTTGGGGGCGGGAACCAATTAATTGCTTTCCATTATTTCTTATGGGGAAAATTCCATCAGAATTCGAACTTTTTAGGATTCGATCCGGAGTTCTGAACGGATTAAGTTCGAGTTCTGAGGTACCACTGTATTATATTTGGTTGTTAATGTAACGAAAATGTTTTGTATTTTGTTTGATGCAACAGTGTCACATAGGAACATTATGCTGATTACGGTAAGGAAATTGGTTCTGGGAGAATGGTTTCAGAGGGGGAGGAGAAAGAAAGGGAACGGTGCGGTTTGGAGAGGGAGTGCGGGAGCCATGGTTGTAGTTCTGTGTGCTTCAATAAAATCTACTTTAAGTAAGTTAACTGTAACCCGTTTGTTCCACGCCTCAAGGAGGACTGGAGTTAATCCACCAAACCCCCAATTTATTAGGGTTACAGAGTATTCAAACTGAAACCTGGAGGTGTGAGGTCATTGTTCTACCCTCAATATAAAACATGAACAAACTGGGCACTTCTGTAGACCCCGCAGTTCTGCAGGAGCCTCCAGCATCTGCCCACAAGGATATGATCAATCTCCTTCACCGCACCACCAGTATTGGAGTACCAAGTCCAACGATGTGGTTCAGGCTGTTGGAACCAGGATCCAGTGACCCGCAGCCTGTGACCTTTAGCGAAGTCAAGGAACATGGAGCGACACTACTCCAGGGACCGACACAATCCTCATAGCCAGCTCTGTCAGTGCCAGTGGTCACCCATGATCAGAGGAGTCTCACCTTGTGGGCATCCATCAACCACCGAGTGAAGTTAGCGAGTAAAATGTCTCCCTCAATGAGACTCACCACGGTCGGAGCATACACTGAGACAACATACAAGACACTCAAGGAGTGCCTTGGCCTGAGTCTCATAATATGCTCATTGAAAGGAGTGTCATCAGACACCATTGGGAGGAGCTGATCGATCCGCTACAGCAATAGCTACTTCCTGAGTAGCCATCAGACCGACCAGACCAAAAGTAGGTATACCCACCTACAGAGATCTGACCATCTGCACTTTAGAGTGTTGCCACCGAAATGCAGAGTTTATGAAGTTCCCCCGACAGCAGAGAAAGATGGTCATCTTGCTGGAGAGACAAGACATTTCACGCACCTACCTGGACGGGCCACCTCAAACTGGGACCCAAGTGCCGCTATGCAGCAGGCGACTCCTCAGCACCACACCAGCTCCGATCCTCAGCAGGCCTGACCCTATTAGCGCTCCGATGGTTGAGGATTGCCCAGTTATATTTTAATATTATATTAACTGAAGTTCAAATTGTATTTTCATTTTATTTGTGGTGCCTATATACAACCTGAATTCCAGAAAAGTGGTACAATATGTTGGTAGGACTTACTGTATCTTATTGAAATTTTATTTATTTATTTTTTTTTAATTAGTAATACTGGTTAAATCAACTTCTTATACTTATTGATTAATTATTAATTGATTAACCATCAATTAATTGATTCATAATTATTATCAGTGATTAAGAATTATCAAAAATGCAGCCAACGAAGGCAATTGTCACGTCAAGGAAAGAGGCTAGTTTGGTCTCTGTCTCACGAAGAGGGAGATGGGGGGCACATCATTCGGGGCCGCCATGCCAAGTCTGCTGCCTACCCAACAGGCTCCTCAGGGTGTCCCTGTTTGGAAAACCCTTCAGGGCTTAACAACCAAGCCCTTCAAGCCCTGGTTCCTGCCCCTGTCTTTCTGCGTCTGCAAATGTTCCAGGTCCCAGTCCTCCTGGTTGAACCAATATGAGCCAGATGCCTGGCTGTTCCCATGACACGGCCTGACCCACCAAGACATAAGAGGTCCAAAATTGTGGGTCCACCGCCCAGCATCTAGGGGTCCTCCAGAGACCCCTTTTTGACCTCAGTCCCCTTTGTGTCTCCATTTTTGTTTGTGTTTCACCACAGTCTTCTTGTTATCCTGTCTCTGTTCCTGTGGTCCCTTTACCTGTCTACCCTGTTGTGGTCTTTGTTTTGGTCCTTTCCCCTGTTGTCTTTAATCCTACCCTGGCAGTTGTGTCCTTAGATGTGTTGTTAGGTTTATCTTATGCCCCAATCTGTTTTTTTCCTGTTCTGGTGTATATGGTGTACGGCGTCCTCCCTGTGATGTCTGGTGCCTGGTCTCTTGTCTGTGCAGTGTTTCATCTGATCTTGACCTGTCTGGTCCCATCTTGTTCCTCAAAGTGTCCTGTCTGAGTCTCTCACATGCCAGTTTCTGTCACTGTTAGTCCTGTCCACCCTAGTTGAACCTGGTGTCATTGTTCTTTTTGCCTGGCCTTGCTCCAGTTTCTAGTTCTGCTTTCTCTCCCCAGGTCCTATGTCCCAAGAGCCCATTCGTCTGGTGTTCGACCCTGTCCTGTTCGCTGGGTCCAGTCCTGCGTTGTGGCTGTGAGGGCCCTGATGATGCAGTCCTCTTGTCTGGTCCCATGGGTCCCCTCCCTGCATGTCCGGAGGGTGCGTCTTTGCAGGGCTGGGCACTGTCATGTCCAGCCCGCTCCGCCTGTCTAATCCCTGTGTTTTCCCTTGGGTGTGGCTCCAAATCAGCCACACCTATGACCCATCAGTTTTACTTCTTTTTCCTGCCCTCCTGTTGATCAATCACAGCTGCTTTCTGTTTTCTTCTCATTAGCCTAGTTTATAAGCATTTCTCAGTTCAGTCTCTCTTGTCCATTCATTGTTACCTGTTTGCGTCTGCTATCTATTTATATATGTAAAGGTTTTCTATAGAACCATTTGGTTTAGCATGCAAAGAACCCCAAGAGTTATTTTAACTGAACCCTCTGAAATGGTTCTACATAGAATTTTTTTGTGTGTACTTTATTCAATGCAATAGAATGGAGCTTTTTGCACATCACTGAGTCCCTGAGGCTGTTACTTGCACTTCAACTGTCACTACCATCTTGTATATGCTACACATACTGCAGGTGAGTGTGTCTGTGTGTGTTTGAGCATGTGTGTGATCTGTTTCACCTTCACTGTTCTTGTCTGCCTTGCTTTTAGGTGAATTTGCATGAAGTGGTGGGTGTCCTTTCTGTCAAAAGTCCCAGCTAGGGTTGTCACTTCAGTCCTACAAAATTCCTGGACACCCAGTCATTGACATATGGTGCTTTTAGGTCTGTTAGGGAAATTATCCTACATGTATCTGTAGGAATTATTAGCTCAGGTAAATTTTAATATCTTGACCAATATGTTTTTGTCACGCCCCTGGGGGGCGGAACCCCGCAAGTGACGCCGATTAACGGTAATCAAACCACAGGATAAAAGAACCTATTGAACAGAAGGACATTGCGAAGTATTGAGCTAATGTTTTACAGCCATACCAAGCAATCTACTTGTCTTCCGTCTGCCCTGCCTTCCCGGATCTGCCTGTCTTACCTGTATCTGTACCTCACCTGTTTGCCTTCCCTCCTCAGCGTCCTCGTCATACCTGATCCTCCAGTCCCGCCGTCCTCCGCCCTCCTCTTCGTCGTTCCCCTTCGTGCCCCGTGCCTGTGCTTCAGTGTTGGACAGCTCTACCTGGTATCGACCCTCGCCCACGTCTACCGATTACGATTCTCGCCTGCCGATTCTAAGTTCCGTCTGCCTTTCCCCTCCCCTAAGCACCGCCTCGGCGTTGCCGCTGTTCTATCAATAAACCGATCGTTTCCCTGCATTTCTGGATCCTTGTCCGTCTGTTCCCCTCTCTGCCTGACAGTTTTAAAATTAATTAAATTTTAATTAATTATTTAATGCTGATTATTAACCAATTGTTATGCCGAATGGTCGGCTCCTCCAAACTCAATTGCAGTATCCCCGTGAGTCTGTTAATGTGAGACTTAAATGGGATTCACTAATTACCAGTATCGCTTAGTAACCTGACTTAGGAGGCTCGTCCAATGAGCTGCATCACNCCTCAGCGTCCTCGTCATACCTGATCCTCCAGTCCCGCCGTCCTCCGCCCTCCTCTTCGTCGTTCCCCTTCGTGCCCCGTGCCTGTGCTTCAGTGTTGGACAGCTCTACCTGGTATCGACCCTCGCCCACGTCTACCGATTACGATTCTCGCCTGCCGATTCTAAGTTCCGTCTGCCTTTCCCCTCCCCTAAGCACCGCCTCGGCGTTGCCGCTGTTCTATCAATAAACCGATCGTTTCCCTGCATTTCTGGATCCTTGTCCGTCTGTTCCCCTCTCTGCCTGACAGTTTTAAAATTAATTAAATTTTAATTAATTATTTAATGCTGATTATTAACCAATTGTTATGCCGAATGGTCGGCTCCTCCAAACTCAATTGCAGTATCCCCGTGAGTCTGTTAATGTGAGACTTAAATGGGATTCACTAATTACCAGTATCGCTTAGTAACCTGACTTAGGAGGCTCGTCCAATGAGCTGCATCACCACGTAATGTAAATGATTGGTAGCGAAGCTCCCCTCACGGCCGATGAGAGTGAGTCTTGTGATACTTCAGGCGAGTTTGAGGTTTCAGAGCGTGTAGCTAGATCGCACAGAGGGAGGGACTATTGTGAGCACTCAATGAACGGAGGCTGAAGTTATGTAAAAGACATGCATTTATTCCTAGCTAACACTACAACTAACAAAAGACAGACATTGCCAGGACTCCCTGGAAGAAGAGTTATTGTAACTCAATGGGACCTTCCTGGTTAAATAAAAAATTACACCTAACACAAACAACAAACACAAAATAACGGAATAGAAACAAACAATGTAATTATGGAAATGCAATGACCTGATTTAAATGAGTAACCTTAAAAGGGAAATACTGCTCTGCAAAGCAAGCACAGTTTGTAGAACCACAACCCTAAAGTCTTACAGCAGGTTAACAGAACAGCTTAGGTTGTTAGAATAAGAGGAAGTTGGTTTACTTGGTTGCAGAACGGGGGGGTCTTGGCAGTTGGTTGCAGAGCTGATGAGCTGATGGGATGATGGCACTCAGGAAGGCGCGGCATTTGGAGCAGTTATTGGAATGGAGCCCCTTGGATCCTCTCTCCTTGTGAAGCTTTGTCTTTGTTGCAGTTCTCTGTCTAGCTGGGCCTTCACCGGAGGGATTTATGACCAGACTGATTCTCCCTTTACTGATGATTTTCATTAAGCTGGTATAACTTTTGATACATCCACTTTCATGGTAACCACTGACCAGATTTGGAATCAGGAGTGACTGTCCATCAGTTTGACACCAAACATGCCATACCAGCTTCACAGGTTCACATCTCATACCATCTGTATTAATTGATTAACAATTACTTATATTATGTATGTGACAGACTCACATAAGTATATGACACAGGTGTTTTGGGTTGCACCTCGACAGATGTTACACTTTGTGCAGACATTACATCACATATTCA